TCTTTGTTGATGTTACGGACCGCATTATGACATTTGATCGCCGGGTTCAGAAATGAGACTACGATCGGCATCGCGAAAGCTTTGAAGATGGACCAATTATCGAAATTCACCATTTCTTGGTGTCTCCAGCGCACAGCGACGTCATCCATACTCAAAGATTGTTGGACTTCCGCCATTTTGTCCTGGTATTCTTGCTTGAAAATTCTGAAACATTGTCGATACTTGAAAAACAAGTCATTGCAAGATCTCCTGGCGACAAAGTTTCCTTTCAAAGCCTCCCGACTGATTTCAATGAACTCCGTCAACTTGGTGTTCGCCATATTGGCTGCGCTTGCAAGATCCCTAGGGAGTCGGTTTCTTTCCTCGATCATTTTCGACCGAAAGTTTTCGACTTTGTTCCACGATGACCTGAATTCCTGAAGCACAGGTTTAAGCAGCATTCCACAAACGGTCGAGTACAGACACTTGTACGTGCAGTTTGCCATATCGATGCCAAAACGCTCGTGTACGTATTGGAAAAAATCACGCTCTTCATCGTCATCCAATAGACTATTGACAAACACGTGATACTTGAATGTGTGGTACTCTTGAGATTTAACTTGGTTTATGAAATGAGTCATTCTTGAGTGGTCTTGCAGACATTTGTCAATCTTAGTAAATACTACTACGGTTCGATCCCCGTTAGGGTCCACTTGATTGACTAACTGAAATATTTTGTTTAAGGCCAAATCTCTAGTGGAATCGATGACACAGAGAATAATAGTTCTCTGGCCTTGAATGTGTTTCATGGCCATATCTCGCACTCTGTCAACAATGTCTTCGCCTTGGGTCTTATTGGCAGAATGAATGATTCCAGGCAAGTCAACCACCGTCAAATTCTTCGCATCTGGGTTCTCAATACGGATCCTGGGCATCACATCAAAAACGAACCCTCCCCCGTCGCTAGTTTGGAGGCGCTGTGAGATATCATTAACTACTGTGCAGATGTCCGCGATGCCTGCAATGTCTTTGGTTTCCGGAGCGATCATGCGGATCAACTTTTGGGCGCTTCGGCGAAGCGCCAGTTGTGTAGCGCAAAGTGTGACTGTGCCATCGCCTGTTGGCAACGGAACACCGGAGAGCTTCCCTAGGACGCTACTTTTTCCAGACGTCTGGTCTCCTGCTGCAACAACGCTGGGTATTGTGAGAATGGAATCCAAAATCTTGGACTGCTCAATTTCATCTATTAAGTCAAACAATTGATGATTGAACTGGTCGAAGCGTTCAAAATCTTGTTCAACTTTGGAAGCAGCGGAAGTCATTTTAGAGGTTTCAGGTAGATTCAAATTAAATTTTCTCAAAGCAGGCAGTGATAGGAATAGAACTTGAAACTTCAGTTCAAGTTCAAAAATGAAACGATCTGCAACGGAGTTTAATCTTTTGCTTGCTATCGCCTCATTAGATTTGAATAAATATCCTGATCTCTTGGTAATCCGCCACTTGATAACGAGGCCAACCTAAACTTTAGCTTGGGCCGTTGTACAGTTGGCTCTACGACATCCTTGAAAACTAGTCTTAGAGGTTATTTTGGCCTTCGGATGTATATCTTTTTAGAATGTCGACATTTTAGCCCTGTGACGTCAATGGCACTTTACTTTGAAGGCTGAGCTTCTGTTTGATTGAATTTCTGATGTTTGACTCTAGAAGTCTTAAAGCTTATTTTGGCTTTTGGAACTAAATCTTTTTAGAAAGTCGACAACTTCGTCCTGTGACGTCAATGGTAAATTACTTGAACGCTGAAACTTTGCTTGATCGAATTTCTGATACCATTTAAATTGAATTGGAGAAACGAGACATTTTAAAAACCGTTATAGCATCTTGAAGGGATAGATAAGAAAAAAAGTATCTGAAAAAAATCCGAGGAAATTAGGTCATTTAAAAATGGCCACTTAATTGAGTGAATTGAAGCAACTGCTCTCGCTACAAATAATAGCGAGCAAAACCAAAGTGACTGGTGATCAAAAAACAGTGCGAAAATATCAAACTGAATGATCATCAAAACAACTTTCACAAGTTTTCAGGCACTGTTTTAAAATCATAGTTGTCATTTTGTGCAGGGGCTGAATTAGGGCGGGGGCAGCGCGGAAAACTTGGCCAAAACGGGGCCGTTTTAGTACTTTGGGAGAGCTCGAAAAATCAATTTAGACAAAATTTTCAAAATTTTTTTGAAAATCCGCCCCCTCCCCCCCTCTTTGAGAAAATCCTAGATCCGTCCCTGATTTTGCGTATTTTCTTACATTGAATTCTGCTTTTAAATACAGAAACTCATGGTAGTTTGTTAATCTTTGTTGACTTAGAATTGCCGCTAATTACGTCTAAATTACGTATGAAACGAAATGTTGTCAGTCAGCCAGCTACCCGAAACCGATCTACCTCAGAACCGAGACGAGGCAGAAATAAAAAGTCATGATTGCTTGCTTGTGCTAACCATTAACAATTTATCGCAAACAGCCTCTTCCCTTCTTCCATTTGACCGGTCAACGGGGGCTGCTGAGGATCCTTTGATCCGGTAAAAAAGTCAATTAAGTTAAATCTGTCACAACCAGCATCGCGGTGTGTTTCTATCAAAATGTTTTTGTTCCGACTTTCGTAACAAAAGTAACGGAATATTTGTGCTCGGTGTGGTTTCTTTCTTCAGACAATATTCGACTTTTTGAATAGCCATTTTTGACGAATTTTTTTTTTCTATATCATTCAAAAAATATTGTAGTCCTGAGCTTAAATTTAGAAAGATATTCACCTGTGATCATTTTTTTCATAAAATTATGGGGGTTTAAAAATTGCCATTATGGTCAGTTTGGGTCAATTAACGCGCGATACATTTAGCGCTATCAACGCGTAAGCATAGATTTAATCCGTCTTAGAAATCGTTCCAAATTGGTTGAGGGAAGTTTATTTGCCAATATGATTTGATTTTGTATTTTATATGGCGTGCGGGGCGATGATTTTTACAAACACTTCGTTTTAAAACAAATTTTATTACATTTAATTTGATTCATGTTGTTACTGCTCACTAGACCGTAACAGGCAGTCGGATGAGTTTTCTTGTTTTGTTTGGTTGCCATTCAGAGTTTTTTTTATAAATTCTTGAGCTCTTTTTCCTTTCCCCGCACCTGCAAATTTTTATAATTAAAATAACTGTTCACATTGTCCGATTCTCATGAAAATTCCAATGCAGATTAATTAGGCCATGACAAACATATTTGGTCTTCATAATGAACCTTGTAAAAACAAAAAATGCCTTGTTAGTCTATAAAAATGATGTTCGTGTAAGGTAGGGGGAAAAATAAAAAGAGCCAATTCTTGTTTGATTTTATACAAAAATCTAAGTAGCTTTAGCTGATAGTGCTTTATTGAGTGCTATTCCGAAATTTGTTTTTATAAATTATTTTGAGTTATAATACTCTCAGTAAATTCGGAAAGAAGATTCCATGGTAAGGCATGCTCAAGTTGCAAATAAGCATTAACAAATTTTCGAATTACAGGTAGAAAATGAGGAGAACTTAACTTTGAAAAAATTTGCCTGTGTTCCTGTTTGTGTATTATAACACTTATTTTTGATTTAATCAATACCGCGCATATCTTTCATGTAATAGTATGTGCCCCGTACCGAGAAAATTCTTTATTTTTGACCTGAAATACATTATATCAGTGGCGGATCCAGGATTTTCTCGAGGGAAGGGCGGATTTTCAAAAACATTTCGAAATTTTGTCCACTTTTTTTTTTAAAAAACAGGCCTAAAAAGGCACTTTTAGACACTTGTTGGAAAATTATGACAAAAAAAAATGCTTTTTTTTGGCTCGCGCTCCCCCTCAAAATTAGTATTTACTGGCGAGTTTTAGAAAAGTTTTAGGGTCCATCACCAAATTTGGATTTCTCAAAATAGTACAAAGGGGGACCCTTTCGGTTGGGAGGGGGTCCAATCCCTGAGAGGGGGGGGGGAGCGGACGCCCCCTGCCTATTCCTTAAATCCACCCCTGCTTTATATCTAATCTAATTTCTGGCCAGAAATTCTTATTGAAATGTTTAAATAAAGCTTTTTATTTTCATAAACTTCTTTATTTTTTCTTAATTCTGATCGAAAATTAGCTAAATCTAGGCTGTTTTTGGCTAGAAAAAATTCTCCTGATTGCGCTCGTACCCCTGACCCCCTGACTTTCAGATTTATAGGCACTTGTAATAACTATGCTACAGCCCTTAATGAAGATGAATAGTTTTAGCAAAATATAACTTTTTATAACAAGTGTTAGTTTGCGTTGTATTGCTACTGTTATTGTGTATACTCGAAGCATGTTTATCTCGTTGCGGTTGAGCAGTGAACTGATTTCTGGTTATTTAGGCTAGATAAACTAGGCTAGATAATCTATATACAATATCTATCTAGAAAACAGCCTCCGTTGTGTGCGGTGATTAATAGCGATTGTTTTCCAGAATTTTGCAACTATTTTGTAGACTATTACGACTAACTTCCAGCCTATCGAGACAAGTTTTTAGATAGTCACGACGTGACTGAGATATTAATAGACTTTGTTCTTCTCTGTAAAATCCAGCTCAGAATACGAATTAATGGACGAGCACTGAAAAGTGGCAAAGTTTTGATTTCTGGGGTTTAAGTCGTAGATCTCGGTGCATGTTTATTGTTCTCGTAGGAAAAACTATACCTTTGACATTAATTACGAAAACTGGCAACATTTCAGCCCGTGAATTTGATTTTGTGCATAATATGAGGTGAAAACAGAAATCGGTGTTCTCAGAAAATGGCTTTTTTAATACAAAAAAAAAATCATTGGCGTCGTTTTGATTCCGAATTTAAAATAGCTGATAACTTAAAAACCAAAACGGGGATGAATGCAACAAACTGGAAAATTATTTACGTGCAGTTTTCCACTTTGTTCCACTTTAAAAAGCAAGCTGCCTTTTAAGAATTTATTTTACACTACTATTTTAGTTTCAATACCATCAAAACGCATTTAAATAGCATAATAAACGTGCTTTGTTTGTCTAATTTTTTGTTGCGTTCAAAGTATAGATTTCGGTTCATGTTATTTTTTACCATCAACGAAATAAACGATCATTTCACCTAAAATGTTTTTACGGACCGAAGTGTTTCCCATAACCTACTTTTATATTCAAAACTAGTGCAAAATTAATTTGTGACGCGGAGATGTTTAAAATTTTGAAGAAACTCAAGCTGAACTCAAGGTTAGTTTCTGTTTTCATCCCGATAATTTCTTACAAATTTAGCAAAAAATCTCAGCAAAGGCAATTACCAGATGTTTGATGAAACTGCCCAATAATTGGTATTAAGTGTTACATGAAAAGAGAATTACAATCATTAGTACAGACAGTTTGCGCATTGAGATCTCGGGTTGAGAGTTTGCGTCGAAATCTATTTCCTGACTTAGGAAATCGCACGATTGATTATTAAAAACGCTGGCAAAAGAACCCAATTTTAATCATTTTCCGCCAAAGTTTCGGATTATTTTGACCAAAAAATGCCTTCGAGAAAAAATTATTTAAAAAATTGCTATCCTGTGATGCAATTTTTGATCAAATTAAACCAATGCTTTGGCGCAAGACTATCAAAATTAGGTTCCTTAAAAAAGTAATTAAAAGCATCGGAGCTGATAAACCTATTAAATAGTTTCAAATATTTGAATGCTAAAATGATGAGTGAGAAAGACTGGCAACAACCCACGTTACTCAAACGTGTTTGTTAAATGTTCCAATGGATCAGAGGGTGATGTGGTTTCATGTGATTTCTGTCCTGCTGTGATACATGGAGTATGTCTGGGTCTGGATATGACTCTCTGCACAGAAAACGAACTGATAGCAATGTGAACAGACGAAAATTTAGTGCAACCGATTCAAACACCAGGAAGAAAACTCATAGTACAGGTGCCAATCAGAATGGCGCTTTTTAAGGTGTGAGCAAACCTCTCCCAAGAAGCAATATCTTTTTGGGCCGAGTATCTAAGGAAGATGGTGCTGAAGAAAAAAAAAGCACTGTGCCAATAATGGTGCAGATGTGATACATATGCAGGAAATAACAAAAGGAGACCATACGCTTGAGAAATTTTCAAGTTATCTTTGCTGGTGAGAAATCGGAATGAGTTGACTCTCGGAACTTTGGCCGCAAAACACCGTTATTAACAGATTTTTCCTAAATGAAGAAGCAAAAATTTGGCTGAAAACGCTGAAAAAACCCTCTGACTGACAAACGAAAAAAGAAATTGGATTTTTCAATGTGCGTGCCATTAGCGGAAAATAACGCCACTTTCACATAACATTCTTTCTAATAATCTGCGTTTTTTTTGAATTATTGAAACCTGGATGACATCAAGTGAAGGCTATCTCCTAAGACAAATTTGTCTAAATGGCCACATATTTTTAAAATGTCCTCGTAAAAGTAGAACTGGCGTCGGACCAGCTTTAACTGCGCACCAGTCTATGTGTATATCTTTATTTCGAAATATTCAAGTTTCGAAATAGGAACAAGTTTATTCAATTTTAACAATTTAGGTTCAAATGGTTTTTAAATGATAATATCTCGGACTCCTTCGGCGAATTTCAACAGTTTTTTTGTAGAAATGATCAACTTTTACCGAGTTGCAACTCTTTTATCTGCTTGGCTGATTTTAATGTGCACTACAAAAGAAAGGATAATACGTTTTTTCTACTCCAAGACTTTTAAAAAAAATTTGGTTTATACCAGTCGGTTCAAAAACTAACGCACACCAAGGGCAACATACTTGATTTAATTTTATCATTTGAAAATAATAACCCGCAGAAAGTTTATGTTTCTGCTTTTAATAAATCTGATTATCACTTTTTAAAATCTACGGCACAGATTACTTTCCTTCAAACCAAGAAAAATTACTTACATATCGCTATTGGAAAAACATTAATTTAATTGAGTTTGGTCTAATGCTTGAATCGTCTCAGGACCTAAAAAAAAAGATTCTTAGTGTTCCTTGGAAAATTTCAAGTTTTTTAACTGTTTTTAACCAAACTGTCGAATCAATAACGGATTCCATTGCGCCCCTTAAAAAGCGCAGTGAACTTATTCGCAAATGTGATTTTTTTGATACGGAGCTGATGTAAATGAAACGGAAACATGGAAAAAATGTATCGAAAACATAAAATCAGCTTTGTTGAATACAAAGAGTCACTCTCAGAAAAGAATCAACGTTACTCAAACAGACTTCAAGAAAAATAAAGCTCCTGATAAACTAATTGCAAACAAAATTGAAGCAGTACTATCTTTCCACAATTACAAGGTTACTCTGGCCAATGATTTTAAGGGTTATTTTAATAACAGAGTATCAATAATATGAACAAAACCCTAAGTGTGAATAATTTTGATGAACCATTTACGACTTGATTTCAAATTTTATTGGAAAGTTTTAGTCCAATCAAACTTGAAGATTTACATGTTTTTATCAATTTCATATGCGGCAGCTCCTCTTGATTTAATTAGAACTCCAAATTCAAAAAAAATTTTAGCGGCTTCAATTTGTTAATATTTTTCTTACGTGTTTTATAACTACTAAAAGAAGTAGTTATAATTCCGACACTTAAAAAGGAAAATCCAAAGCCTGAGTTTCTTGCGTCGTAAAGAGCAGTATCTAACCTTGTATTTCTTTCTAAAGTAATGAAAACTTGTACACGCGCAACTAGTAGAACATTTAATCTCATGGATTTTAGTCAGTCTGCATATAGAACAGGTGCTTCTACAAAAACAGCAATATTAAAAACTTCAAATGCTATTTGTAAATTTTTGGACACGAATCATTACCTCATTTTGATATGCCTAAACTTATCAAGCGCCTTCGATACACTTCGGCATGATTATTTACTCGGAACCACGAAGAATTGTATTAGAATTTCTGATAACATATTGAATTGGTTTTGATCGTATCTCACTAATCAGCGAGGGACTGAAGGTTTACGTTGAATCATTTTTTTCTGATGGACTATTTGTCGAGCATGGTATTAGTAAAGGTTCGATCTTAGGACCCCTTTTATTTTGCAGTTATGTCTTATCTTTTCGAGAAACTCTTTTGAATCTCGATGTTTTCTATCAATCGTACGCGGATGATACCTATTCTTTGTTGCTGCAAACTTCGAAGAAATCTATTATGCCATGATCAAAGAGAACACTCATTCGATTGTATTTAGTTTGCTGAGTTGTTAAAAAATTTTGGCTCGGTGGTGAACCTTCATAAAACTGAAATTGGCAGAAACTAGCTTGTGATTCGACTTGGGAGCTTTCTTTGTTGGTTAATTTAAAGTGGATGTTTTAAACGAATTAAAAACTTAAGTGGTAATAATTGACAAGTTAACAAGTTTTCACAGAGATTTTTCTTCGTCTTGCGCAAATTATGCAGTGTTAGTCACTACCTGGACTTAAATACTCGTGTTATTCTTTTTAAAATCTGCTTTTATCCAGCCTGGACTTTTGTAATTCGCTGTTTTTAGGTTTACCTAAGAATTGATCCAAAAACTACAGAAAATTCAAAATACTGGCGCGAGATATGTGTTTCAGGCACATCGGTAGACCTCATCGACTATCCTGCTGCATGCACTTCACTGGCTTCCAGTTTGTCAACGTATTAACTTCAAGTCTTTGTTTTTCTCCACAAAATACTCTGTAATGATAGAGTGGCAGAGTATTTTGATGGAATTGAGACTACGCTACGGCAACTTTTTGCAAATAACGAAAGAATGCTAGAATTCCATGTGATATAATAACAACTCAAACGAAACACTAGTTTTCTAATTACTAAGAAGTGTCTCAGGTAATTTTGAACATCGGTAAAGAGTTGCGTCTCATATATCTGAGCTGAATTTGCAGAAAAATTAAAGTCTACACAAACTTTGTGCCTAAAAATAGATAGCTTTTTAATTTTTTTTGTTTTTTTTTTCATACGAACATGCAATGTAGAGCCTGTAGTATTTTGTTTTGGGTGTGCTAAGGAGGCCAAACTGGGTATTTTGCGAGCTGCAAGCGATTTCCGCAACAACGACACTCTCTTGTTCTTCTTGTGTTCATTCGTTTTATTTGATCGTTCCACAAAATGGTGCACAGGTTGGCCTCGTATCGTTTTTTTTTTATTTACCAAGTCCTAGGCTGCTCTAACGCTAGTTATTGCGAGCTCTTCAATGCTTCAGCGACTCAAGG